ATTATAACTTTTAATATAATTACAAAATATTTATTTTTATTTTTAATAAAATTTATAATTATTGCAATGCAATTATTATAGTATTAGGGTGGTGTAGTGGGGGGCTTCGCTCCCCACGGGTCTGTGTACTATAAATTATTTCAGCACCCCCTAAATTCACACCCTATGTGCGCCTATGACCGTTTCCTTATTAATTTTTTTGATTGCTGCCGTAGACCACAGGACTGTATCAAGAGCCGTCACATTTGGTTTTAAATTATCTATTGATGAAAGTACGTGTTTTAAAAGACTAATGCGGTAATGAGTTTTAAAGTTTTGTATAACTCCAAGGTCAAGAGGTTGGCAAGTTGATGTCACGTTTGGTGGAAAAAATACGAGTTTCACGTTCTGTAAGTTCAAATGGGGGTGACTAGTCGCGTTATCAAGAAAAAGAATAACCTTTTGGCCTTGCATATTTGTATCAAAATTCGATAGCCAGAAATAAAATAAGTTCATGTTTCTCAATTTATCTGTCCGTTATTTAGAGGTATTCTAACACACCTGACTACGCAAACCTGTCAGCTTTTTAGAGRGGTGTAATTCATTATTTTCAATGGGGTTATGCCGGGACCGGTAAATTTGTCCGTAATTGAGAAGTGTCCGCTAATTAGAGGTGTTAGTTAAGGGAGGTTTCACTCATATGTCTATGGTTTCACGTTTCACTATAAATTATAATACCTATATCTTTAGTCATTCATATCAGTGATAAGAATATAATACCATAGACCTTATACTCAGTATAAGGTCTGTGTATAATACACACATTTGATAAATCAACTGTTATCACTTGGCAAATATTATCAATATTAATATATTATCACTTGTCTCCATGGAGATTATTTAGAAAACAAAAATTTATAGTTATTAATGTTATTACCATRGCTAAATTTTTAACTAAAATTTTTTATTTAGCCATGGTTATTACTATAATATAATTAATATACCACTACCAACTATAAAGTTAAAAATGTATTTAAAAAAAAAATAGTATATTGTATTATAGTAGTTTGTTTATATTATATCTGCTGCTTAAACTTTCTTTCTTTACTGTTGTACAACAATATAATGGTACATTAACGTTGCAAAGCAATCTACACTTATAGATTTTTTTTTCTCTTATGAAAATGGATGACAATGATTTGGAAGTACTTGATTGTCCTGAAACTCCTCGTGAAACACCAGAGCCATCTGAACGGACATCAAATATTGCTGTAGACTTGGTAGCTTACATTACATCTACACCTTACAATTTTTTACCCACTTACACCATAAACATTGACTTAATTTGATTTGTTTTTATTTAATGTTTTCAATTAATGTTATTGAGGATTTTTATTCTTTAGGCTTTGAGCCCAGCCAGTGGGTTGGGCAGTCGTAGACCGTCAATTGATGGTATGTCCAGCACGTGTACATCACAGTCAGAAGTACGCTCATTCAAAGATCGACTCAGAGAACATGTTAACCAAGTCAAGGTAAATTGGATAGAACATAATTAATTGATTTAGTGAATTAATTTTTGACAATCGCTTCTTTCAGGAAAGAGCCTCCAACACTGTAGTAGTTGAACAAACTAAGACTAAGGTTCAACAAAGTGTTAAACAGCCTGCTGAACGTTTAGCCCAATTGGTATGTTAGATAATTTTTTTATTGTAAAACATTGTAGATTTATTCATATAAATTGTTTCCTTTACCATTCTGCATATGCATATCATCTTTTGTTTGACAATTTATTTACAATTTTTTTTACACATTGGGTCATTTCTGGTTGAATGGATGTAAAATATATTCCAAATTAGGTAGTTTCTATTAAATCTGTAAAGTGAAAATTTGTTAATATAACTGCACTTAGACCTGTCAATAAAATTGATTATTTTCAGTTATAATTGACATTGACTTATATAGATGTTCAAAATTGTTTTCAAAAGTATTTATAAATTACTCCTCTTTTTAGATGTATTAATGTATAGTAAATATATATATATATATATATATATATATATGTAAATATAATATATATGTAATTTCTCTCTCTACCACATGTACTCATTGTGTCTCTTAGGTATATATATTGTATATTTTAAATAGGTAAATAAAATRAAATGTATGTATTATACATATCTATATCTTATTGTAATAATAAAATAAAACAAAATTTTTACTTTCTGTTTATTTTTATATTTTTGTTTCATTATTTACAGTTGTTGTAATGGTTACTTTAGTTTTTTTTTGAAATTAATTAAATTWATTAAAGTTTGATATTTAAACAATTTTCTAGGTAAGAGTTTTCCGAGCATATTTATTTTTTATGTTTTTTTACATTTCTAGGGCCTAGGTTAATACTGTTTAAACATAACTCGAAAATCATTAATTGTAATATTAATAATGGACTTAAAAACAGTGTAGTAATTTCATTCTCAAAATAGTATCCATAAAAATAGTTTTAATATTTGTATTATCTATAATTTATTTTTAGTGAACACATTATTTATAAATTGTGTATCTAATTAACTATATAATGTTATAATCAATATAATCAATATTATCTATACTGTTTAAAACATTATCTTATTTTGTATCTAGAATTTTAATTTTGATTTTCAGATGAGTTCAGAAAATCGGGCAGTTGCAGCAGCTTTAGAGAAACACGAAAAAGATAAGATTAGTAAAAATGTGGCCATAAACAATGTGCAAGAGGTACCTATATTTATAATAATATTTACTCAATTTAATGAAAAGTTTAATAAATTATTTACACAGGTTACTTCAACACTTGCACTGATTTTGTTAATRTGCACACATAGCCAATACACAATTGAGTAAGAAATATTACTTTTAACCGATTTTTACTATGTAAAATTAAAATAATTTTTTTTATATAATTATGATGATTCCCTTTAATTGTTGCACTTGAATTCTATTGTTAGTTTAACCATTAAGCTAAGTTTCTTTCACGGACTGTTTCATTCTTATCTATCAACCATAGTTCCTGCAACACAGCACCTGCATTTCCTCACCTGTCTTAGACAGGTGTACTTTACGAAGCATGGACTTAACTGAATCACATCATGAACATATGCATTAAGCTTTTGCATCTGCTTTTTTTCTTACATTTTAAATTGATTGAAATCTTATACTCAATAGTTATAAATGAAAAATAAATATTAATATGTTATTTTGTATAAGTGTTATATAAGTGACATACTGCATGATTTTATTTTGAGAAGGTAGACAATGAAATTGAGAGTTATAATTTTTTCACCAAAGTATGGGACCCTCCTTCTAAACCTGATGAAATCCATGAGAAATCAGTTGAATCTAGTGGTAAATATTAATTTGTTTTTATTTTATTTATTTTAGTATATTAATTGCTTTTAAACTAGGAAATTATAGCACAAATATTCTAAGACATCATTTTTTTTTTTACAAAAATTATAATTTTATGTTACATATTGTTATCATTATAATTGCAATAATGRTAGCAGGCCAATTATAAACTATCAATTTTTATTTTGTAACTTTATATTTAATCGTTAATTTAATGTTGTTAACATTATACTAAAAATGAGTTTCATAATTTCTATAGATGCAGAAGTTGGGTTTTCTAATGAAGAAGATAAAAAATTGGTCACAGAAGATTATTTAGGACTGACAGATGGAGATGATGTTGATGTTTTAGATCATTCATTRGTACCATTTTTGAGTACATCTATAAAAATAAAAGAAGCTGCTAAAAATATTTATTTTATTCCAGATGGATCTCCAGGTAAAAATCTCGATTCATTCATTCATTGCAAACTAATCAATTCTAAAATAAAAAT